AGAGAGAGAGAGTAAAAAGAACAATCACTTTTTGTCTTTAACACTTGCAAATTTAATAAAACTGCAATTAAAGTTTGACAGTGCCCTTGACTTACACTGAGGCTATTTGTGGTGCTATTAAGCAACTTGGAAAGCCCTCACTCAGTTTCAGTATCTGAAGACAGAAACCAAATGATGCCAGCCCAGAATGTGCAGTCTTGCATGTATATGGAACCAATTAATTACAGTCCGAACACCCCATTGCCCCGGCGGAGTACGCAGCCCAGCTCTTACCTAAGCCCCCAAGAACCAAGCAGGCAGTGATACTTGTTCAGACCAGAAAGGCTGTTTATCTGGGCCAAGACCCCGTGGGACGGAGCTCTTGGGAAATACGGCATAAGGGTGTGCAAGCTCTTGGCTGCTGAGAGGGTGAGGCAGATTCTGAGTCTCTGTCAGGCCTGCCTCTAAGTGCCATGCTCGTTCCTGTGAGATCTTTGGACTCCACCAAGAGGAACGTTCTGAGTGTTGGAACGAGCAAGACTGAGAGAGGAGCCCAAGCTATCACAGAAGCCACAGAACGACAGCAGCAGTGGCCTCTTCCCTACCTTCTCGTCCTTGCAGTGCTTGTTCTGCTTGTGGGATGTGACTTCCTTTGCTCTTTCAAATCACCCTCTTCTCCCTCAGCACTTCTTTCGTGCTTTTCTTTTTATTTCTGCCCTAGAATAAAAGGTGATCTTTCACATACATCGATTGTCCTGACGAATTCATTGCTTGGGACAAATAGGAACCTGGGATACCTGGCTGGTCCCCACTCCGTCGGATAACACTAACTCACTGGAGTTTCGATGGAAGCTGATGTTAACTAGCAGCCAGCCTGGCTCGCCAGCTGCTCAGGGTACCAGTGGTTGAAATCTTATCAGAAGGGAACCTGAGCACAGTCACCTGGTGGACAAGTCTGAAGAGACAAAGACTCCAGGTCTCAAATGCACTTCCCAAGGCATTTACGGGCGTGTGGGTAGGTGGTGGACGAAGCTCCAGGACTGGCCTAAATGCAGCGGGCTCTGGGTCTGCGCATACGTACTCGTTTCCGAAAGCCAAGTTCCCTGTGGATGGAGGTTTCTGCCTCCTTTATCCAGAGGTCAGTCACAGACATCTGTGCTGGTCCAAAAGCAGGGTCAGTTGTTTCCACCGGCTTGAGGTAGGCAAAAGCAGCCTTCAAGTTTCTGAAAAAGTGTGAGTAGCTGTTGTCACAACCCACCCGTCAGTTATGGTCCCTGCTTAGCACAGGTGATGCGAGTGTACCCCTTAGGTGTGTGAACCTTTTGGTTTAGGAGCTTTACAGAAGACCCATAACCCGCAGGATCAAATCACTGACCACGGCGGCCAGACTCCAGCCCCCATCTCCTCCTCTCCCTGGAGGGCTAAGGGCTGAGAGTTCCAGAGCTCTGCACTCACGCTGGCTCTTCTGGCCTCTTTAGTGTGAGCTGAGCTATGCCGGGAACTTGTTATGAATTTTAGTAGAAGCTACTTTTACCCAATTACTCAGCAGTTTTTGAGCTTTGTGCCAGGAATGGGGAACAAAGGCCAAATATTTACTTTTTAAACCACAACATCAAAAAGACACACACACACACACACACACACACACACACCCCTTGCACATTCCTTATACACCACTGTACACATGCTTGTCCAACTCCAGCACTTCCTTAAGGACAGGAGAGCGCAGAGGATAAGAACACAGATTCTACAGTCAAATTGTCACACTCAGACTCAACCTCTGTCTTGGTTACTTTTCTGTCATTGCTGAGACAAAATACCCAACACCTCAAATTAAGGAGGAAACTAGCTGGTTCCAAGGCAGGGTGGCACAGCACAGGCGACACTTCAAGGCAGCAGAAGACAGCAACATCAACAGGAGCGAAACAGAGACAAAGCAAGCCTCTTTCTTCCCGCTTTTGTACACCGGCTCTCTGCCCACCCCATCTTCGAGCCCTCCTCTTCCACAAGTTCATATTTACAAAGTAAATTCTTGTTCCCTGCTGAGTGGCTTAAACTTCTAAACTTCTCAAGTTGGCGCAGTGTACCAACCATTACAACTCACTAGCAGTGCGCCCCTAGTCAAGTGACTTGAGCTCTCTGCAGCTGCTCTCGTTCCTCTGTGGACATGGCAGTAGCTATAATATGTCCTCCAGAGCAGCTTGGACACTTAAGTGGGAACAGCCAGGTACAGCATTCCCCATTGAAGCTTGTCCTTAGTCGACACTCATCAAAACAAATCACCGTTACCTGCCAGCAAGTGCGGTCTCTCCTGCTATCCCACCGTTTTTCTTTTCCCATCACTCACCCTCTATCTTGCCCACTCCTCCTTGTAGCTCTACTATCTCTTGCAAAAACTTGATACCTCTGAGCAACTTATATTTCTTACCTTCAGTCACTCATGTTCTGCACCAAGTGGTCTTCTCTTTTTGGCAACTCTCTAATAAGAAGCTTTCCCTAACCTCCAGCTACCATCCCCACCCCCACACATACACATTTGCACACCACACACACACACCACACTCACCCCCCACACCACATGTACGCGCCACTCCTACCCACACACACAACATGCATATACCCCTACATACATACATATCACATACACAAGAATGTTTTCTGAGAAGTTAAATGGCTTGTTCAGACTTACCCAGCCAATCAGCAACTGAATCCAAATTAGAATCAAGGTTTTCCAACTCCCGGCCTTTAGTGGGAAATGAGTTATCTGCAGGCATAATTTAGAAAAAGCAATTGACAAGGCGGTCATCTTTTCTTAGATGGAAATATGTGTGGACACAGAGGGAGAAAGAAGAGACAGGAAGTCCTCGGCTGAGACTTCAGGGTCAAATGAGTCGACCTACAACATTAATAGCAGGGAAATATGATCAAAGAGAGGTTCGATTTCAAGGTGAAATGAGGGCTTGCTCATAAAAGATAAAGACATAAGCTTTGAAACTTTAAAGGATTTGTTGAAACAAAAGAAGTCATGCTATCAGCTCTGCTTTAAACCGGCCTGCCTATGCATTCGTGCTTGTACATCTCGCTGCCCAAAACATTACAACTTCTCTCTCTAAGCTTAGGGAATTAGAGTTGAGAGCTGCTAAGTAAAAATTCAGGAGGCCATTGGTAGGAACTCATTTCTGCACTGGCTGCAACGGACAAAACTAAAACTCAGCATGGGTGGAGTCCTTCATGCCAAGAAGTCATCTCACCAAACGGAGAAGCTGTCCCGCCTGGGGAGAGATGAGGCGAAGACGGTAACTGCCAGGACCACGAACATGCCACTGTCAGTGGGCATAGCAACATCTCTGCTTTAATCTTTACCCAAAAAGGAACTTTTTGTTAGCCCATCGCTTATTTATTTGTTGTTCTGTCTCCCTTTCCCCACTTACAAGGAAAGTAACTTTGTTCCAACTTTGTTTGGGTCTTGCGTGTAAGCACAGGCTCTCTGCCCCTGAGCTACATTTCCAGCCCAGGGAAGGGAACCCAAACAACCTACCTACACTTTGCTCTGTTTCTGCCTCCTCCCCCCCTTCACTGTCTGCTCAGCTCATCAGAACAGTTATTCTACTTTATAGAATGAAGCAATGCCTGATTCTGGAATCACGAGCCAAGTCAGTTAAGATCTTCACAATAAATTAATTGATTGGAAATTAGTGATGATAGAGAAGAGAGTGGAGGTATTTGAGCCCAGTGGGAGGGCTGGTGCATCTTCCTGAGCCCCCCTCCTCCTCCTCCTCAGTTCCCTCCACACTCCCTTCTGAGAAGCCCTGAGCTATGCTAATCCTGCCAGGCCCCAGGCCCCTCCCTGCTTTCCAACTCCATTTATCATCAACACCACCCTTTAAAAAATTATTTTCAAATTAAGGTGTAATTGATGACAAATAAGGTGCACAGAGCTTTTCAGAATACAGATAAATATTTCACACATGTGTGTGCACACATGGATACAGAGACACACCCATGTAACCACAGTTCAGATCAATGGATAAAAATTTTAAGTGGAAAAACCCAGGTGCAGTGGTGTATGCATGTAACTCCAGCACCTTGGCAGGCTGAGGCAGAAGGGCCGCCTTGAGTTCAAGGCCAGCCTGGACAACATAATGAGTTCAAGGCCATCCAGAACTACATATCAAGACATTGTTTCAAAAAAAGGAAAAATATATAAAAATTATAAAATGGCATTAGATTTTAACCCATACAGAGAATACATGCTCACAAATCCATACTAAGAAATAACTGAATAAACAAGTGTTAGAAAAAGGCTAGCTCTTCCTAACATAAGAATTATGAGTACTAAGTGGAGAAGAAGGACACAAGTAGAAAGCCACCACTGGAACCCCAGGACACTAACTATCG